GTAGACTAGCCATAGAAAAATTACACTGGAAATGACCAGATCATCAAAGAAGAGGCTTCATGTATATGTGCTATACTAAAATAAAATGCAAAAGATACAGAAGGATATGATATTATTCCTTAATGTCAGTGACAAGAAACAAAAAGGCCACTCCTGCCCTCACCCTGTATTTTGAGCCATTTAGAAGAGTTGCCAGTTATGTAGAATCTCACAATATTAAAGGCTGCAAACTGTGGGTTCTAAGGATGACCAACTTGTGACCCATCAGGTGTTGTTGTTGTTGTTTTATATCTTGCTTTTTCCTGAGACTCTGAGACTCAAGGTGGCTTACAAAATTAAAACAGATACAAATAATTCACATCTCTAAGAACATACAAATGTTTAACATATTACACTGTCAAGAGAATGTTTTAAATTTGTTTAAAAAAAAAACATTATATTTATTTATTTATTTAATTTCTATGCCACCTTTCTCCCCAAAAGGGACTCAAAGCGGTTCACAGACAAAATTGTTTAAAAATTATAAAAATTTAAAAACAATTTAAAAGTAATCTAGCTAAAAACAGTATGAAGTGCCATAATTTAAAAAAAAAAAAAAACATATATAAAGAACACACCCAGTATAAAAGCCTCCCAGACATCATTATATATTAAAAGCCTGATTGAATAAAAATGTATTTGCCTATTGGCAAAAGGAAATCAGGGAGGGGGCAATCTAGCCTCCTGTGGAAGGTCATTGCAGAAGGTGGGAGCAGCCACTGAAAAGGTTCTCTCTTGTGCCATGTCTTCACCAATGAGCCTGGGATGGTGGCAGGAGTGAGAGAAACCCTTCCCTCTAGCTCTTAGGACCCTTGCAGGCTCATATGGGAAGATACAATCTTGCAGATAGTCTGGCTGTGTAGGTCATTATAGGTCATTACCAGCACTTTGAATTGTGTCCAGGAACAAACCAGAAGCTAGTGGAGCTGTTTCAACAAGGGAGTTATGTCCATTAAGAAGTAAGACATATGAATAATATAGCACATTATTAAAAGCTTTTTTTTCCCAATAGACAGACATCTCCAAAGATCCTGTTGAAATTTGAGAAATATGTTTTTGCCTGTTGTGGGACAGATAACAAACATTCCTGTCTAGCAATCATGTTCCAAAGCATGGGAGCTGTCACTGAGAAGACTCTCTCTCTCTCATAATTTCCCCTAGATGTACCTGGGAGGGTGGTGAGATGGAGAGGAGATCTCAAAAGCTAAGCAAGCTCACATGAAGAATATGGTCCTACATATAAACTGGACATCATAACCACCACTTTGCATTGCCAGTTTGCAGCTGGCATGGACACTGGACACTGGAGAAGGATAGGCTTCCCAAATCTCAGCACCTAGCCTTAAGTCTCAGAGCTTAGACTCCCTAGAGTGCAAGGGAAGAATCTCAGAGTACTGTTTTGGAAGCCATGCTTTGATGGTTAATTTACTAGGCTTAATGAGATAACCTGAGGCTTTCCTTGTATCATTATTCTTATAAAATCACCAGAATATATTTCTTGTGACATCACAAGGGGGCATCTCCAGGTCTTGTTTTGGTCTTAAAATCTCAGGGCCTGGGGTGTTCCTGACTTGGCAACCCTAGTAAGGGGTGATGGGAACTGCAGTTCAAAAACTCTGGAGGGCTGAGTTGCCTATAACAGGTGTAAGGTACGTTGTATTTCATTGTCAGTCAGACATTTCCATTTAGGAAAAGAACCCTTAGAGTGGGCTTTGCTTATACATGAACTCAGTTGAGTTAACAATTTCTGTCTGCCATGAGCTTTATTTGGGTTATTCCAATTCAATCTAGTTCAGGCAGATTTTTCAGAACCAGGCAGTAGGAGACTATATCATATGCTTGTAATGTCATGCAGAGCTATTGGAAGATGTGAAAATAAGTAAGTTTGTCCTCAGGATAATGGGTAATGTGAATTATCCCTTGGAGTTACTAGAAGGAGTGGGTTACTAGTTAACAGTTGTTTTGTTTACTTTGACATCTAAATTGGCCTCTTGCTTTTTAAAAAGTTTCTTGCAGAAATTAGATCCCCCTCCCTGTTTTCAGAAAAAAAGAAAAAGTATTTGTAGGAGTTGATGGAGGGTGAAAGGAACCTTTGAACTATTTTGTACAAGAAGAGTAATGAGAAATAAATCTCTTTGAATAACTATGCCAGTTCCTTAGAAATGTTTTCAGCCCAGCCCCTGTAGGATTCCACTTGACACCAGTATAACCTCCCACCTGCTTCATTCCCTTCTCCATAGGAGAATAATTGTTGTGTATCATCTGGGTAAGATTCAGATTTATAGGTCACAGAAAGTCTAAACTAATGTTTCACCTTTCCTTGCCCCTCTGTTCTACTTCCTCCCTGAAATATTGGTCTTTACAAGTAAAAACGTCTTTAACATATAATGAAATTCACAAGTGCATTGGAGGAAGTGTACCTTTTCAACTCCCATGGTTTTTCAACAGCAGTTTATTCCTTTAAAAGACAAATTTCAGGAGGCATATGTTTGAGAGAAAACTGGAAATACAGGAAATGAGTGTGTGGCTGTACAACCGAGTTCATAAATGGGCCCCTTTTTGTATTAAATTGGGCTTTTACAATAGGAAAAAAATGCTCCTGCGTAACTGTTCTTTTGTTACAACTCCATCAGAGCATGAAATAAATCCATAGTGTATACACTGTTCTGCCTTTGATATTCTTTGTTATTAAGTGTGCAGTGTGAGCGTCCATGCTTCATTCTCTATATTTGTCAAAATAATGAGATTCTCTTAAAAACCATATTGATTCTCATCCATTAAACTCTTTCAATGCAACAATATGGACACCAGTAAAATTAATAGTTTACTATTGCAGAAAGAATGTTGAGATATCCTAAGTTATTGCTGTTGGCAAAGATGACTTAGTGGATGAAAACTTTCCATGATTGCCTATGGTTCAGATCTGATGCCAGAAACATTAAGAGTAAAAATGCAAAGAGCAGTTGTGGGCAGTTTTCAATTATCTAAAGCTTGTATGTGAAGATTAGCTATCTTACTATAACATCAGTCAGGAATCAGCATCCATGGGTAACTAGCAGACATCACTCAAATGTATATATATTTGAAGAACTACATTTATATAAGAATTTAACTAGGTTGGAAATATCTCACAAGCCTACCAGTTTTCCTTGGTTTTGCCCCACTCGGCTTATAGAGGAATCCATTGAAATAAGTTAGCAGTGCAAGAGGCCATGGTGTCTTGCACTGTTCTTTGACCTACTCCCTCTCTGTACTCTAGGACAGGCACTTCTTTCAGGACTGTGGAGGGGGGGCATGTGATAATCTAGGCAGTCTAGACACAACCTGGTGTATCAATAGATTGTGACAGGAGTAAAAAAAAATTACATTCTATGAGCTGATTCAGCCTCAGTAAAGTAAGAATGATTGTTACATATATATTAAAATAATTAGCTGCTATCAAAAGCAAGATGAAAGCAAGCATCAATGAGGCAAATACAGACGTAAAACCCTGGTGTAATGTGAGTATATGTGTGTGGTTTTATTAGGGAGAAAAGGGCTCTCAAATCTCTCTTGGGAGAGAATACAAAAACTTGAAAACCACCACTACTAAGACCTTATCTCATTTTTTCCTAGGGTTCTGTCATGTATCTCATGCCTCCCACTGTTTTTTTTTTTAAAAAATCTTTCTTAAAATTTTCAGATAAACCACAGTAAAACAGCTCAAATATCCAAAAAAGAAAAAGAAAGAAAGAAAGAAAGAAAGAAAGAAAGAAAGAAAGAAAGAAAGAAAGAGTAGGTATATAAAATAGCAAAATAATTGGCTGGTATCCTCCATTGCGGTTATGGATTCATAACTTAAGAGTTATGCTCTGCATTCACAATCTTAATACTATTGTCAAGTAAGTATTCCTGGCATGCTCCTTAAATTTGAGGAAACTGCTCCATGTGAGGGAGGTCTGCAGCATAATCTTGGGGTGCTTTAGAATAACTCAGCTAGCTCTCTCCCATCTTCAGGCTGTGATGCAGAGAGCGGAAGCTTCATTCTGCGGGTTCTGGGGGTTCATTCCTTGGTCATTCATTTATGTAGTTATGAATGTAATGTAAGATCTCAGCCATCATATTAGCAATGAAGACTTTCTAGCATGGCTTTTACCTATGATGCCTGATCATACAACCTCATATAAAAGTGTGAAAGGGATCATTGTGCATGTACAGGTGTTTCCATGCAATCTGAAGCCTTCCATGACTAGCATGACTGATTGTATAGAAATATCATACAGATATTTCTGCACTCAAGCTCCTTTACATGTTTAGCAAACTATATGGACTTCAGTAGCAGTGTCATGGGGCTACCCTCCCTTTCCTTTCCCCCATTTTCCCATTTTGCCCAATCCTTCAGAATTGCTGGGAAACTGGGAAGGAAGACAATCCTCTCTCTCTCTTGAAAGTGATCCCACAGTTCCACTAGCAGATATCCCTCACTGAATGCTGTCAAAAATATTTTCATGTAGTTTGGGGGGGGGGATGTAGTTTTACAGTTGTTGGATCTAGAACTGTGCAAAGCAGAACTCTGTGAATTAGAAAATCCTAAGCAGAAAGGAGATAACATTTTTTTTGTCAATTTCCTGAACACCACCCTCCTATAGTCCTGAAAAGGATCAAGGAATTGTGTAGTACAGTTTGTATGGGCTGTAGAAATCATTTCTCTTCCCACTTCCTCTGGTGGAGAAAGTCCACAGGATTCCACTAATGGAAAAATCCCTTCTGTTCATGGAGGTGTAACTTTATTGTTATTATTTATGGATTGTAGTAACTCTATGTTGTTGTGAACATTCAAGTCCTTTCCAACCTATGGTGACCCTAGGGCAAACCTATCATGGGTTTTTCTTGGCAAGATGAACAAGAGGGGGACTTTCCTCAAAGCCTTCATTTGAGATTGAAAGAGTGTGACTTGTCCAAGGTCACCCAATGGGTTTCTGTGGCCAAGCACGGATTCGAATCCTGGTCTCCAGAGTCATAGTCCAACACACAAACCACTACACCACTTTGGCTCTCCAGTAAACTATATGCACTGAACTATATATGCTTTTGTTTTCATTTTATAAAGCAAAATCACTATGAAATTAAGAGGCACCGACAAAAAGAATAACAATCAAAGGAATCATTAATTCCAACAAGAGATAAAATCCATCTTAGGTTACTTCCCAAATTCACCTACGGAAATATTGCTTGTAATGCTAACTATATTATGTGCAGATAATGCAGAATCAGATATATGTGGAAGACTCATTTTTGAATGTGTTCCATTTTCCCATATCTCTGTTTGTGGCATATGATAAAATTATCAATGAAACATCCTAATTGGATCCTTAAGCAAAGGGATGTTGCCCTATGAATCATTTTATGTTTGTGGGAGGCAACTTTGGAACTAACAGAGTAGGAATGAGAGCCAGATGTTTTCTGGGAACCTGGCTGACTGTAGGCTGTGTGTATTTCCTAACATAGGCAGCCATATGGAAGAAAAGGTTGGAAACATCCCATTACAAGTCATATATCACCCATTTGACAGCAAGGATTTCAGCTTGTTTTTATTTAAATCATGAAAGCAGCTGTTCAGTTGTCCAGCTGTATTAAATTTAACCCTTTTTCTTAACAAAAAAAATGAATGTAGTAATTTATGCAATAGTAGCCAAACAATTTGGTGGATGCAGGGAGAGGGAGTGTTAGGAGGACCCCACATTCATTCTTGCTCTATGAATGCACCTTAAGTTTCTTTGCTTGGCTACTCTGTTGCCATGTGTCTCTGAAATAAGAAATATTTTCATTCTGAGGACATCCTGGAATTTTAACACAGAAGTGTGATAAACAATGGGCCTTTGCAGACTGCCAGAAATAGTGCAGATTGAGTCCACTTTAAGGGTTAGGGTTAGGGTTAGGGAATCATGGGAACTGTATTTTATTGTGGCACCAGAGCTCTCTGACAGAGAAGGCTCAATGTCTCAGAAAAAAAAGAAAAAAATCCCATGATTCCCTAGCACTAACCCTAACCCTTAAAGTGGACTCAATTTGCACTATTTCTGGCAGTCTGCAAAGGCCCAATATTAACTTTCTGGCTGGCTGTTTATTACCAGTTCATGCAAAATGGCTGGATGGATTTTTCACCAATTTCAGAGGGTATTTTGGGGATGGTAAAACCTAGACATTGTGTTTATGTAGGTGACATACATAAAATTGACTTTGGGGGGACAACCCAATTGTTTTTCACTGGATTTTCAACAAATTTGGTGTTTGGGATTGTCTGACTTAGATTGATGTACATGATATTTATACACACTCCTCCCACCCCAACATTTATTAATTCATATACAGTGTATGTTCTCAGTCAATTGGTAAAGACATGCTCTCTCAAGGTTTAAAATTTAAACTATTTTATCTGTGAGCTGCCTTGGGTCCCTTTCTGGGAGAAAGGCAGCATAGAGATGAAATTAATAATAATAACTAACAACAACAACAACAACAACAACAACCAGCATGAATAAGAAATATGTTTTACCTCATTTCCCTTAACTCTTTTTTATCAGATGCATTTACTCAACCATCACTTCTGGAATTGGTTCATCACATTTTTCTCTTTGTATTCCCCCACTTGCTTATGAAGTATTAGCTATATTATTGTGGTTTCCCTTACATATTGTTCACTTTCTTTATATGTCATGTTCCATTCTGTCCTTTCTGTGACCCATTTGCTTCTGTTCCTCTGGCTTGTTATCCTTCATTCTATATTAATACTTAATCTTTCTTTTTATTTAGGGATCCAGGTTATTAGTACATTTTTGCCTTTACAACTCTGAAAGGTATTATGCCTTATGACAAATAGCATTGGACAACATTCAACAAATTATGCCCCTTTATAAACAAGTTTATAACTTGGTTCCTTGTAATTGTGTTAACTTATTAGCTTCCTTTTGGGGACACTAACTTTCTGTGAGACAGAGAATAGGTACCAACTTCAAGTTCCCATGAAGAAAAGTTATTCCAAATGAAATACACTAGAGTGGCATCCAAAACTTCCTCCTCTGATGTTTTGAACTATGCACAGGGCAACTTGTTCCTTTTTACCACAATAGCTACATTTAGACCTCTTCAGGATTTTGTTGTAGTGGTTGCAGATTGATACAGCTAGGCTGTGTTTTCTTTATAAAACCATTTTTTATGAAGCATCACATTGCACTTAATATTTGGCCTTGAAAGTAATAGAGGATGAGTTGATCTAATACTTGTCTCTTCTACTTCCAGCTGCCAAGTTCACTAAATGAGCAAGCAATATCTTTATTAAGATATATTCCAATCTACAAACAGGTTTGGAAATCCACAGTTTAAATGAGTATTGCAGATGAAGTCCTGCAGTTTCAATTCCTCACTCTCAATTCTAGGCACCATCGTCAAATACACCAGAGGAAAACCTGAAGCCTAGCAAGACTAGATAACAGCCATAAATGGCATTTTATGTCCAGTTGTTCAAGTCCTGTTTTTTGAAAAATATAACTATACCATTCAGATACTGGAGTCATGCGAGCAAATCACCATGATCGACAGTCCACTTCAGGGTGGGAGGATAGCCATTTTAAGGAAATATATTTATTTTAAAAATATGGCAGGATAGTTGAACCAAGATAAGAATGAATGTAATTGCTTGAAAGAAGGTGTTTGGATTTGCATTCTTGCACTCTAAACTTATGTTAAATTGTTACATTAAATTGAAAAAAGCTTGGGAGTTAAAAATCACAGATACTCCTAGGTTATTATTTATCACTTTATCTAAAACAGACAAATGCATTTCTATAAATGTGTGTCACTTAATAATTTGCTTGTCTCCTATATTTCCTATAGTCATTGGATTTCAAGTTAGTTACCAAATGCACTGGCTTAGTGGTTAAGATGCTAATTCTAACAGTCAGAAGGTCAGCAGTTAGAGGTCCAAGTGCTGCATAATGGAGTGAACTCCTCCCACTAGTCCCAGCTTTTGCCAACTTAGCAGTTTAAAAGTATGCAAATGCAAGTAGATAAATAGGTACCACTTCAGTGGGAAGGTAACAGTGTTCCATGCCATCATGCTAGCAACATGACCACCGGAGTCATCTTCAGACAACGCTGGCTCTTCGGCTTAGTAACAAAGATGAGCACCACCCCCTAGAATCAGCTGCAACTAGATATTCATGTCAAGGGAAACCTTTATCTTTACCTTTACACCAAAATGATTTCCCACACACCCACCACTGTTCAGTTGCTGCTAGTTCAGTTTCTATAGGCTAACCTCGCAAGCACTTAACAATTTTACCTGAATAACATGCCAAAATGCCATATATGGCTGTTTTATCTGTTGATTGCCACCATGAGTTGTATTTATAGGGGAAAGGAAGCATACAAATTTTGTAATGTATGAATAAATGTTAATAATAATAATAATAATAATTTTTATTTATATCCCGCCCCTCTGCCAAGCAATCGGGGCGGCGTACAGAATTCAAAACATCAAAACAAATCACAACAAATCAATCCCGTCCCTCAATCCCACCCCCACTCCCCCCCAAAAACAACTCAAACAAAACAAATTAAAAGACAATTATTAAAAATATACAAAAGTAATCCCAAAGGCTGCCCTTCTTATATAAGGCTGCAACTGCATATTAAAATCAGGACTAAGGTAGAGCCCTCCAGAGACCAGAGCCCTCCAGAGACCAGGGTCCTTCCAAGTTTACGCCCAGGGTCCTTCCAAGTTTATGTTGCTGTTGTATTCACCATCCTGGTCTTGGATAGTTCACTCATGGCAGTCTGAGATGAGGTCAGGATGAAGCTACACTGTAACATAATCCTGGTACAAATTTCACTGTAAATAAGGTGGCCCAGAGTTATAACCATGATGTGTGTTAGATGTCTTTATATTTTTAAATTAATATTTATTTAATTTATATCCCACCTTTCTGCAAACATGGGATTCAAGGCCATGTACAGTGTTTTAAAAACACAATGTTGTTGTTGTGTGCTCCAACTCATTTTTGACTTATGGCAACCCTAAGGGTTTTCTGGGGCTAAGAGTGTGTCACTTATCCAAGTTCACCTAGTGGGTTTCCAGGGATGAGCTGAGTTGTAATCCAACTCTGAAACCACTACACCATGCTGACTCTCATGGACACATTTTTTTTAAAAAAACAAACCTCTTAGTTCAAAAGTTAAAACAGAATTAAACTAAGCTTCAGTTTAAAAAACACAAGTTAAAAACATATGTTAAAAATAGCATTAAAAAGACATTTAAAACATAATAAAATAGAAGCACTACACCCTCCCATTAAAAACTCCATCTGCTTAAATACATTGTTCAATACATTATACATTTTTTAATTAGGTAAACAAAAACCCAGTGAATAATAAATAATAATAAGCTTTGTAAAATATAACAGAGATTTATTCATACTTGTCTTGCTGACTTTCACATTTCAAAATGCACCTACACAGTAGAAAATATTCTAAGTTGTCTTTAGAAATTGATTTAATGGCTGTACAGCAATTATGGAATGAATGAATATGAAAAATATTGCATTCTCACACCTACATTGCATTAACATATTTTTATTTATTGGGAGGGGTCTGAATGACCTTTGAGAAGTCTGTTACACCCAAGTGCCTCTGATTGCAGGGAAATTGCTTCCAATTATGTAAGCCTTGTTTCAAAGATTTTAATAGAGTTATCAGTATGGATGCCAAGGCAACTTGGAGTAATTTGACAGTAGACAGGTGGCACCTGATAACATTGTGCTGATGGCTCGTAATGAAATCTAGAATGGCCCATGAAAATATAGATTTTATATAAAGGTGATGTACCCCTCTTGCTGTTAGGTCTAAATATCCTAAAGGCACCAGATCTTGCCAGACCTTGGAAACTAAGCAGGATCACCCTTGGATGGTACTTAGATGGGGTACTACCAACAAATATTAGGTGCTGTAGGTTATATTTCAGAGGACAGAACAGGCAAAACCTTGCCTGTGAAGACCC